AGCGAAACTCCGTCTCAAAAAAAAAAAAAAAAAAAAATAGTTAAGATGGTAACTTTATGTTATGTGTATTTTACCACAATAAAAAAAAACTTGCAAAAACATGGATGAATGTCAGACACATTATGCTTGGTGAAAGAGGCCAGCCACAAACAGCTACATATTGTGTGATTTCATTTATATGAAATTCTGGAGAAGTTAAAACAATAAGGGCAGAAAATTGGTGAGTGGTTGCCAGGGACTTGAGTGGGGAAGAGGGAGAAAACTGACTACACCAGGGCACCAAGGAACTTTTCAGGTTAATAGCACTATTCTACATTTTTATTGTGTCAAATTATATACCTAAAAAGAGTTAATTTTACTACATTTAACTATATCTCAAAAGCCTAGTTTAACAAAAAAGCAGAGCATTCTACCCACACCAAGAACATCCCATACAAAAGCATCCTTCATACCTTTCTTCGACTTTAATGGAGAGAGAGTTGCAGAGGTTGTGAACATACTGGGCATAACTTTCTGCCTGGGCCATGTCATATGCAGTCAGATGAATGTTTAAAATCCCATATTCATAATCTGTCCCCAAATTAATGGGTCTCACTTCCACTTTTCCCCTCTTCTTCTTGGGCTAAAGAGAAAACAAAAAGAGAAAGAAAATAAATCAACGTATTATACGAGAAATTCTAATAATACTATCTTGATATTTTTAAAACTCAATCTTTCTAATAAATTTGTTCACGTTTTGCTCTCAGGTTACCCTACCTACAAACTGAAGTTCTCCTGTGAAGGAATGGGCAACTTCCCTCACCAGTCTGGACTGTGACATCAGCCAATGCAAGGAGAGAGAATATTGCTGTCATTACTTGAATACATGAATGACTGGAACATGAATACATGTGACTGTCTTCTGCTATTTCCTTGTTTTGAGATTCACCTCCCATTTCTGGCCTTCTATTACTATTCGTCAACTGATGGGGTTGTGTCAGATTAAAATATATATATATATATTTTTTGGAGACAGTCTCACTCTGTCACTCAGGCTGGAGTGGCAGTGGTGTAATCTCGGCTCACTGCAACCTCCTCCTCCCCAGTTCAAGCAATTCTCATGCCTCGGCCTCCTAAAACAGCTAGGACTACAGGCGCCCGCCACCACGCCCGGCTAATTTTTTGTATTTTTCATAGAGATCAAGTTTCACATGCTGCCTAGGTCAGTCTCAAACTCCTGAGCTCAGCCAATCCACCTGCCTCAGCCTCCCAAAGTACTAGGATTACAGGCATAAGCACCATGCCTGGTGTGGATTAAAATATTCGTAACCCATAGATGAATTAAGGGTTACATGAGCTCCCCAATTTATTTTTTTTTGAGACAGAGTTTAACTCTTGTCTCCCAGGCTGGGGTGCAATGGCACAGTTTCAGCTGTCTGCAATCTCCGCCTCCCAGGTTCAAGTGATTCTCCTGCCTTAGCCTCCTGAGTAGCTGGGATTACAGGTGCCCACCACCATGCCTGGCTAATTTTTATAATTTTAGTAGAGACAAGGTTTCACCATGTTGGCCATACTGGTCTTGAACTCCAGACCTCAGATGATTTGCCTGCCTTGGCCTCCCAAAGTGCTGGGATTACCAGTGTGAGCCACTGCACCCAACCAAGCCTCAAAATTTATATGCAAAATTTTACATGTACATGTTTCTGAGGAGAGAATCCTGAGTTTTATCGGAATCATGAAAAAAATTAACAGAAAAGAATCTCAGTATTAGTTCTCTTCTACTCCTTCTAGCTCAAAATTCTACAATTGTCTACACAGCATTCCTTTTGAGAACTGAGGGGTAGATTATTATATTTCTTTTTTTTTTTTTT